AGAGAGAGAGACAGAGAGACAGACAGAGAGAGAGAGAGAGAGAGAGAGAGAGAGAGAGAGAGAGACTGTCTTTTCCATATTTACCTGTCAATGTCCTCCTTCCCTCTTCTCTTGTTCCCAGTCTTGATGGAATAATCCCAGTCCTTGGTCTTTGCTCCTCTATTTATGTAAATCAAATACAGGACAGACATCTAAAAGGACTTAAACTAACAAGAATTTGTAGTTTTAAAATATGGACAGAAAATATATCCATATTATGATGCCCAGTATTTCCAGAGGAAATATATGTGCTAGAAATCTGAGGCCAATCTATAATTCATTTTTTTCTCTTTAAAAATGTTTACTTAGTTTATTATTTTCATGTGTCTGAGTGTTTGTCTGCATAGTGTGTATGTACTGTGAGTGTGCCTGTCTTCCACAGAAGGCGGAAGAGGCCCCTTGAGAGTAATGGTCATTGTGAGGTGCCATGTCACTACTGAGATTTGAACCCAATTCTTCTCCAAGAGTAACAAAGGCTCTTAACCCCTGAGCATTTGTATGCTAGGTAAAATGTTGGGCCAGAGATTTCTGATATATTTAAGAGAATTGAACCTTAAGGTCCCATTTGTTAAAAATTTTTGAGAACCAGAGTGCCTTTTGTATCCTTAAATTCAAGCATGTAGAAATTTATTTTCCTGTTTCAAAGACTGAAATAGCACAGGACTCCAGAAGCAATGCATGCTTTAAATACAGCATTTTCTACCAGTAGCCAAAGCAAACTACTGACAGTGTTAGATCTGAATTTGGCTTGAGTGACCAGGATGGTAGTAATGGACTAGGTGGGAGAGCATTGGTCAATCCCTGGAGCTGGAGACATGAACACTTGCTATTTTCTCTCCCTATTCTAGGGCCAGCCCTGGGCAAACCTTGGTTAAACGGTTTCTTTTTGTATTTCAGATTATCAGTATCCTGTTTGTGTTTTAAGACTCTATTTGATAGAAAGCTTTCATCCCAGGAAATTTTCAGGGAACATTAAGAAATGAGGGTGGGAAGTTTCCACAAGCCAGAAGATGGGGTCAAGGGCTGCAAAGGACAGTGCAATCATAAACTTAGAACTGCAGTGACCTGCACTGGGCCTTGTAAGATTTGCCTTGTCAACAGTTACAACCATTTCTCCCTCCCTCCCTTTCTCTTTAATCTGAGTAGTAATTAAGTTTGCTCTTTGACAATTTCACACAATACTGACCATTCTTACCACCACCTTCACTCATCTCTCTCCTGTTCTGTGTATTCTTCCTTCTACAAATCTTTCCCACATTCATTTGTTTTGTGAATCACTGAATTTACCCTGGGCCATCAGTATGACCATGGGTTTGGAGCTGTCTGTTGGAATTACAAATCTATCAATAGCCCATGGTTCAGTAATAAAGTGTAGAGTTCTTTATACCTCTCTCTCTACCATAACTGACTGTTGACCAAACCAGTGTTGTGCTGACCCAGGGAATTTGGTTCTGGGCTCCTCTCTCCCTTCCATGCTTGACTATTGACAAAACCAGCTGGCTCAAGGAAGGTAATTATGGTTCTGCATTCATTATTGCAATAGTTGCATTGGGGTTGGAGGATAGCATTTCACAGCTCCTCCCCTAATCATCTGACTCTTGCATACATCCTATCTTCTCTTCCACAATGTTCTCTGGATATTAGAAGTGGTTTTGGTAGCATAAATGTGTTGTAGGACCAAGGGCTGGACTACCACTTATTTTTAGTATCTTGCATTCATTACCATTCACTGAAAATACAGGCTTCTGTGATTAAGGTGAAGAGCAGGTGTGTGTGTGTGTGTGTGTGTGTGTGTGTGTGTGTGTGTTAGGAACATAGGTACTTACAAGGCCCTTTCATGCTATGTCTTATTTCTACAGCAGTGGTAAGTTCCTCTCTTGAGTTTCTAACTCCCCAGGGATGGGTTGTTGTTAACCACACAGACAGTGCTAGGCATGGACTCGCTCCCATGGAATGGGCCTCAAAGAAAATCATAAGTCTATTGGATACCCTATACCCAATAGTTGTTCTACTATTGCACACCTGGGTGCAACTTTCTTGGGAGGCTTTGGGGGGGTTTTTTTTTTTTTTTTTTTTTTTTTTTTGGTTTATTTAGTTCTCACATGGGTAAGACCATTGCTAACGCTTTTGCTTCTATAGCACACATAGTATCTTCTGACACCTGAAAGTCAGTAGGGAGGACATTTCCAACTCAGAAACAGCTTTCTCTATAGCTTACAATGAGGTGTGTGGCGCTGTCAACAATTGGGTCTGATCCTGTAGTCCTCATTGGCAATCAAGAAGACTGACAGGACACTTCTGTTTCAGGAATCAAAAAAAAAAAAAAAAAAAAAAAAGACCCGATTTCATAGAATAAAATTGTCTGATAGATATCTGAAGGAAATAATTATTACTAACAAACTGGATTATTTTTCAAATAGAAAACAACCATGACCTTCATTTTCATTGATTTGGAAAGAAGAAGAAGAAGAAACTGACTTTAAGTTCCTTGTAAATTGATTCATTAATATTTATTTGTGCCAACTTCAAAGTGATTTATAAACTGTTTATCAAGCTTTGATAACCAGTTCACACATCAGTGATTTCAACAAATTCAAAATAAATTGTTGGGGAGTAGCAAATAATGGCTCTCACATTCCCAAAGCAATCTGTGAACTCATGTACTTATCTGTGTGCTCCTCGATAAATACACAGTTCCTCTTAAAGAAATCCATAGAGGTGCCTGATGTATCATACTCTCGTAGGGCAACTTCAACCTGAAATAAAAATAAGTTCTTAGTTTATTGACAAAATCATATTACATACACACACAACTGCCAGTAACAGAAGTATCTTTAAAAAGACTATTCTTTAAATGCTACAGTTTTCCTGTAGATTAACTTAAAATTTAACTTAAAAACATAGAAGCAGAGCCAGAAAGAGGGGAATTAAATACACAGGTGCTTATGAGGCTGGGTCATACATCTGTCAGTACCATTCTCTAGCACAGCGGCTCTCAACATTCCTGAAGCTGTGACCATTTAATACAGTTCCCAATGTTGTGGTAATCTCCCCCCCCATAAATTATTTCCATTGCTGCTTTATAACTGTAATTTTGCTACTGTTATGAATCATAATGTAAATATCTGACATGTGAGATGTCTGGTATGAGGTCCCTGTGAGAAGGTTGTTTGAACCCCAATGGGGTCAAGACCAACAAGCTGAGAAGCAGGACTCTAGCAGTAGTCCAAACACTTCCTTGTAAGTTTCGTTTGCTCCAAGGTTAAATGTTGCAGTTAACAACTCCACATCTAGAGTATCAAGGAACCTAAGATGAGCTCTCCTACTTAGTGTTTGCTACAGGGTGTTTAACTCCTACAGAGTTCTTGTTAAGTTACCCATGCAGTATTGATAGCGATTTGTCTGGCTGCATTCACAACAATTTAGAATCAGTGTATGATCCACTTTAGAATTACAAGTCATTTCAAAATTGCAGTCAAGATGGGCTGTGCACCACAATGTAACTTAATTAGATGGTAAGAGGACAGTTATCTTACCATTTTCTGGTTTCTTCTTTAATTTCTTTCTTGAAGACTCAAAGTTCTTGTTATACAGGAATT